CTCTCTCTCTCCCTCTCTCTCTCCCTCCCTCTCTCCCTCCCTCTCTCTCTCTCTCTCTAAGGATTAAATCCAGGGGTGCTTAATCACTGAGCTAAATCCCCAGCTCTTATTATTTTTGGTATTGAGACTGGGTCTCACCAAGTTGCTGAGGCTGACTTTGAACTTGGGATCCTCCTACCTTAGCCTACTGGGCCTCTGGGATTATAGGTATGCACTACCATGCCCCACAGTTGTACCTTTTTTTGACTGCTTGATTAAATTTATGTTTTACTGCTTTATTGATAGGTAAACATCCTCTGACCTTATATATAACTTATATAATTTTGTATAATGTTACTATGATGTGAATTTTTTATCCTTTTTAGTTCTACTTAATCATTTTTGCCTTGAATTATGTTTGATATTAATATTACCACTGTTGCTTTATTGTTTTGTTTTTTCAGACATGTTTTTTTTCTCATTTCTATATGTAAATATTATTAAGATTTTTCATTTGAGATTTTCTCTTATGATTAGTAACAGTGGCTGTTTCCTTTTATTCTAGTCTAATTATGTTTGCCTCTTTATAGAGAAATTTAACAAATTAACATTTGTCCAAGTATTTATAGTTGATATCTTTGGTTCCTATTGCTTTTGGAGGGAGCTGGAAAAGGAGTAAGGTTTTCTTTTCTTGTTTTTTCTTTTCATTTTGTATTGATCAAGTTTTCTTTATTTCTCTTGCACAGAGATTCAGAACATCTATTTTTCAACCCCGTCGTCCCCTAAAATCATACACAGGTGTTATAAATTCTAAGGTAAAACTCTTAAAATTCTGATTGTCACAAAAGTAACAGTCCTACAGTCATGATCCTTTTCTCTCAGAGCTCTACAAATGTTTCTCCATAATATCCTGGCACTTAGGGCACTTAGAAACATTCTGTTTCTTTTGCAGGTGGCTTTTTTGTTTTGACAGAATTTCTGAGGATTTTTTCTTTTTCTTTCATTACTCAAATCTTTGTCTTTTTATTTTCTCCCTATACTTTGGAAAAATTATTTGAATGTGCTGTTATTAACTTATTCTGGTTTTTTTGGAAACATTCATTGTACTGTTCATTGCTCCTGTTGACTTTTTAATTGGTCAGGTTTTTCATTTTTCATAATTTCTTATTTTCAGATTGTTCCTTTTTCATGAAAACCTGCAGCTTTTTGTTATCAATATATTTTGTTGGCGTATATCTAGCTTTCATGCAATTAACTATTTATTTATTTATATGTTTAAAATGGTATACTATGGACATTTAATCAATCTCTCTCTCTTTCTCTCTCTCTCTCTCTCTCTCTCTCTCTCTCTCTCTCTCTCT